TACGCTCATCTTCACTGCGTTTCTACACTTCTAAATAAATCTTCACATTCAATCATCTCATTCAATATCACATGAATTACGAACATTAGTCATGAAACTCTTCTTCACGTCTTTTCCTCACTTTGAACCACGTCTTCAGACTCAGTCGTCGCATTCAATATTACATAACTCATAAATACTCGTAAAGAAACCCTTCTTCACTTCTTTTCTTTACTTTGAACCATATCTGTACAGCCAATCATCTCATTCAATATCACATCACTCAAGAACATTAGTCATGAAACTCCTCTTCACGTCTTTTCCGCCCTTCGAACCGCATCCTTAGACTCAATCATCTCATTTAGTATTACAAAACTCACGAATACTACTAAAGAAACTCCTCTTCACCACTTTTTTTTAGTTTGAACCATATATCTACAGTCAATCATCTCACTCAATATCACATCACTCACGAACACTACTCACCAAACTCCTCTTCACCTCATTTCCGCACTTCGAACCACATCTTCAGACTTAATCATGTCATTCGATATCACATCACTCGCGAACACGAGTCATCAAAACCCTCTTCATTTCTTTTATTTACTTCGAGTCGCATCTTCAGACTCAGTCATCTCATTCAATATTACATAACTCACGAACACTACTAAAGAAACTCCTCTTCAACACTTTTCTTTAGTTTGAGCCATATATTTACAGTCAATCATCTCATTCAACATCACATCAACCACGAACACGAGCCATGAAACCTCTCTTCACCTCTTTTCTTTACTTTGAACCGCATCTTTAGACTCAACCATCTCATTTAATATCACATCACTCACGAACACGAGTCATCAAACCCCTCTTCACATCTTTTATATACGTCGAACCATATCTTCAGACTCAATCATCTCATTCAATATCACATCAATCACAAACACTACTCACGAAACTCGTCTTCACCTCTTTTCTACACTTCGAACCACGTCTTCACACTCAATCATCTCATTTAATATCGCATCAACCACGAACACTAGTCATAAAACTCTTATTCACCGCCTTTCATAACTTCAAAGCAAATCTTCGCAGTCCATCATCTCGTTCAATATCACATAACTAACGAACACCACTCACCACACTTCTGTTTACCTGTTTTCCTTACTTCGAATCAAGTTTTTCTATTCAATCATCTCATGCAATACTACATCACACACGAACACTACCCATCACACTTCTATTCACTTCTTTTCCACACTTCGAATCAAATCTTCACACTGAATCACCTCATCAAATATCACATCAATCAGAAATGTTAACAACATGTTGCACCAATCATTGGTTCAGCTATCAGAATAAATTCAAAATTAATTTTTCATATAATGACACAACCATCCTTTAGGTGGTTAACGTATAATTATCATCAATGCTGCGTCATTTCATTATCATCAATTGAAAACAAATATCGTAAAACTTCTGATAATCCCATAATCATATGTTTAAAGAATAGATGAAACGAAAATTCTGTTCATTTATATCATCTATTTTAAGTGAAGATTGATATACTAGTCAGAATTTATTCACTTTGACATGGTTACTGAATTATTAAAAAGCACGAAGCGCTCATAATGATTTTGTTCATGTATGTTTTAATTAGATTTCGAAACTTGAATTAGCATATTGATCGCAATACATGTAGAAAATAACTAGTCATCAACACGAGAGTTTCGTTTATGTATTTTTCACTACCTAAAGAGTAGAAGATATCTTAGTAAGTGGAAAGAATTCATACGTTAAATGAATAATCCTTATCATTGCTGCATTTCTGTATCTTCTTCATATCAAAAAAGATAACATGTAAATTATATAAGTTAACAGTCATATGACTAGTGAATCAACATCATCGTGATCGTATTCATTTATTTTACTAGGCTTCTACTAGTAATTGTAAATTCAGTTTGTAATAAAACAACTTCGTGATTCGTAAATGGCCGTTTCCCAATAATTTCGTTCAACTATTCTTACTTATATAACAATAGATGTTACTAAATTATGTACAGATTGAATAGGATGAGATTTTTCGAATCATACAACGCATCCGATGATTTAATTCATGTATTTTGTATTTTCAACCCGTTTTGAATTATGCTATGTTTCTTATAGATCAAAGATCACACGGAGATGGAATCATTATGATCAGTTAATTTCCAATATTTATATACAATAGTATTGAATTTATTAAAATAAAGTCTTTGGAAAGATATACTTTTGAAATATCGCACAATAAATAAATCATCATAATTTTTGTAAAGATTATATTCATCAATTTGATGTACTTTGCATTTACTCTGATAAGCTATGGAATCGATTAATAATTACATTAGAAGAATATTTTTCTCATTAAGGATATCATGTTTATCTATTTCAGCTATTAATAGAGAATGATGTCCATTGACGAAGGTTCTTAATGATTGTGTCATATAGGAATTGTTATCATCCATTTTCGAGTTTCTGCAGGACCCAGTTCATTTATTTCATATATAGGATAACTAAAGTTCAAGAAGAGTGAACTTATCAAATCGTATTGTTTAAATGAATAGTCATCATCCCCAGTAGATTCTATAGATATATTTTGTCATATTACAATTGATGATTCGATTCGATAGATCATTGAATCCCATATAAAAAATGAATCAGTGAAAAAATATTTTTATTTCAATCTGGCATATACCTCTGTAGTAGTACCGATATTAAATTCATTGATTACTGATCATCCGACATATGAATAATTAGTTACCAGTCACTGATCTGTTTACTTGTGTCTTGTCTTGAAAATAAAGGTGTAGAGTTTCTTACTCTATTATACATCATATACAAAATGAATAGTTCTAACGACATTTGCCGCATGTGATGCAAGCCTTATATTCATAAATCTAGCTCATTACAAAAGAAAAAATTTGTGTCCATGAAATAATTATATTATTTTGTGACAGGAGAATATCTAAAAGGACAACAATGTTCATTCATTTTGTTTTCATGTACTACATTATGATATGTCCCGACACATTTCGAATAACATAGAAAGTAAATAATTACAACGACCTTTAACAGTGTGTTCACATATTTTTCTTTCCATAAATAAAAACTCTGTTACAATTCATCCCTGAGTGATCATAGCATACAGAAATACATAGAACAAAAATTCTGTTCATTTACACATCTTCGAATGGAGTAGATACTACAAGAGAGTGTAGTAATAAATAATCACAGGCGAAATAAATAAGTTTTATCAAGCTCCTTATAGGTATTAAGTGCGGCAAATTGTGGTTGTCCTGAACGAAAAATAGAACTAACAGTTTTTTTTCGATAAAACATCATGGAGAAGAATCTCTGATACATGTAGAAAAACAAGTGAGTATTTTTAGATCTGCTATACAGAGTCATTGATATCAAGCTTGAAATTTATCTACAGATATCGAACGTCAACTATTTGCAAGTTTGAAAATTACAAAAGCTTTCCTTTTCTCTATGAGGATAAAGTCATATGATCTGACCAATATAAGATCACTTCTATCGCATGCTAATACTTCAGTTGTGTAGAATTAGGATTAAATGTTTGTTATCTAAAAAATTAACTTCATTTCGACACATCTAGAAACGACATTATTTTCTTTGTATACTATCGTGATTATGGGTGACCTACTTCAATCTCATCAACACATGACAGATATGTACAAATGAGAATACCTCAGCTATATAAGTACTATTCTTTAGATTATAAAGATACATTATTCGCATTCATTTGCTTTAAGCAATCTCTTACAAGCACGATATGATCTCGTATCTTAGAATTATTGCGAAGAAGCGATTGATATTAGGGTAAATTGAGGATGGAAATTGGGCGAAATTGCAGCAGAGGTCCTCTGTGAATGTCTTTCTAGAGGTTACATCCTATCAGATATTAAAGAGTAGTGAACATCGCATGATGTAATGCAGTAAACGTCCTAATATATTTCAAATAATTTATCCAAGTCTCGGTTTTAATATCGAAGATTGCATTTTCTTATATCTATACGTAGGTATGCATAAGAATTTTTCCATCACTTACGAGAGAAGCCCACTAAGTGTTTCCTCGCGTTTGAGATCGGACTTAGTGCATAACATAGACACTAGTGAGGTATGAAAAACCCTGAAAGGATAACGTCTATTAAGCCTTTTCTCCATAGTTAGTGAGCTTCCCTCGTTAGATGCGAACTTCTTACACTTTGTATATGTTGATTTTCTGGCTATATAATAAATGAATTAAGAAAATAAGTTCCATAGAACTTAAATACTAGAAACATTCGTCGTGCATTGTAAGCTGAAAATTTTCACATTTTCTAGCTTCTCTCTGTACCTTTCAAATTGTTAATTAAGAGTGTTACAGCCTTTATCAGAACCAATATGATTTTATTAACATTTTCAAATTTATTGTTTTTTGAGAGGGACAATTTGAGTAACTAACTATTATACAAAACAGATACAACTTATGTCACAATATAATCTCATAAAATTTTGTGAAGAATCTATTAAAAACTAGATATATCTAATCAAAATAGTGACAAAACAAAATAGCATATTGAATAACACTCCAAGTAATCAACCTGGATTTAATGATCGATTTATATTAAATTTTTTTGAAACTAAATAAATGGTACAGTGAGCAGATTACATATTCTAATACAATTTATTTCACTGATTTAGCATACTGAATATGAATAGAATACTGACTGATAATACTATCATGGGAAAAGAACGACTGAAAACAAAGACTATTTGCGTTGGACAAACGTATTCCTAGTGGAATTTATTTTAACTGAAGATAATATAAAGAGTGGTTTCAAAATTTTTTATATCGTCTTCATCATGCATCCTCTCATTTTTTCATTCCACTGATAAGATATTCAACTAAATATTTAATCCGTTGAGGTAAGAACTGTGGCGAAGGTCTACGGGCGAATTTTATTATGAATTTGGCTCGATTAGAACATACTTGGTGTTTGATTAGGTGTTACTATTCCGTGGGTTGTTTGCGGTAAATCGTTGTTAATATAACTATCACCATTATTGTTGTTCTTAGTCTCCGGTGGAACTGGAGCAGTAATTTGTTGTAGTGCGACTTCCTCTTCAAAGCCTATGAACAAGAATCATAAATAGAGAAAATAATAGAGTGAGTCTAGGTGTGTTGTATTGCAGATGTTCCCACACTCACACCTACGATCTCAAAACTGTGGTGAAGATCTACAGGCGAGTTTGTTATGAATTTGGTTCGATCAGAATATACCTGATGTTTTATTAGGTTTTGTAATTTCGTATATTGATTTTGGTGAACCCGTGGTAATATATCTAGCATTACTTTTGTTGTTGTTATTCTCTAGTGGAACTAGAGCAGTCATTGTTTGTGATATGTTTTTCTGGGAAAACTACGTTTCGTACCACCTTTCCATTCCGAACATCAAGTAATGAGGGTGTTCGGAACGGAGCTCATGTCGGAAAACAGGATGTTCGAAAAAGGCGGTACGAAACATACTATTCCCGTTTTTCTCTGGGAAGTTTGTGAACAAGAATGACAAAGAGAGAAAAATAATAAAAGTTTTCGCACATGCTTCAGTAAATGATCGAAAAACCAGCTAAAAATAATAGTTTTTTCAACTCGTTGTTTCTTCTCTGCTAAAGTATATTCTACTATATTTCTTCATCAGATACACCAGATATATTTTTATAAAATTAATAAATCAGAACTTACAATAACGAAGACACTATAAAGTCACAAATTTATACAAAAATAAATAAACTTTCTCGCCTGTTTGAGATTGGAATCACTGTTTTTATTTATTATTACGTTTAATAATTTTTATTCATATTATTATAAACTATAATATTCTTTGTAGTCCTCTCCCACAATCGATACATTCACTCTGCAAGATCTATTACTAAACTCAATTGAAAAACTCTTATTATGATATCATTTATAACAGTATCGTTTTTATTTTTCATGACATTCGCACTGTTAAATATGTTCAACTGATCTTGTGATATGTCGAACAGTTGGGTAGTATTGTAAGAGATATCTGCGGATAAGTCCAACGTCGAACATACTGAGATTATATTTTCTTATATATATCAGAGTTGTCAACTGTTTCTTTCACTTCGTTCAGTCCTGACATTCAAATGATCGATTCTTTTTGAATATATATCAAATCCTGGCGTTCATATTATTACTAAAAATACTGTCTACATGGTACGATTTCAAAATCTAATCGGTACTGTCTTAAATATATCTTATTTCTAAGATTGTTATACCTTATAGAGTAAACTATCGTGTAATTATGTGCAAAATTATTAGCATATATAGAATTTAGCCAGAGATCTTATAAAAGTGTACTCGTTGAAAAGTAAGCTAGAATCGTAATTTTAAGATTCGTAAGTAGTTTTCTAAAAAATTGATCGATATCTAACATTTTATATTGCAACTGATCAAATAGTTTCTCTCTTACTCGGTGTTGGTTTAATCTGCATAGATTGATTCGTAACTGGTTGTAAAAGAGTAATCGGAGGCTTTATTTCTTTTAATTGGATCATATGAAGGCCTGGCGCTGGTCGAAGACAAGATACTACAATAAATTGTCGAGCAGCTAGGAGAAGAACTTCTTGCTCCGATTGAAAATACGAATGACGACTGATATCTTTGCCACTATCACATTCGATAGTAAACATTGTTCTTTCGCCAGTTTTGCCTAGAAATTGTTCATTTTCAAGTACTCCCATCGATGTTGTACATGAAGAAAATCCCCACCAGACAAATTCTTTTCCTTCAGTGTATTGTTTACTTAAATCTAAATTCACTCCACGATACACGTTGCATCGTGTGGATGGTAATTTTTCGAGTGCTGTAAGAATAAGTTTCAAATACGAGAACCATGGTTTTAATTTTTTTCTATCTTCAGTGCGGAGAGTTGTATTCAGGGTAAAATATAAGCATTGTTCATGTGGTTCCCATTCCATTGAGTAAAGCATGATTGAAGCTGATTCATTCTGTGTCAAATCATCCGCAGGTATGGATTCACATCGTTGTTTCGCCACATAAACATAATTTTGAACTTTAGGTAAAATCGAAACAAGTGGTGCAACAGCTTCTTCCAATGGTATTATTGGCGTTTCTTCGTACCCTTCGATCGGCATGAGCATCTTTTGCGGTTCTTTAACAATATCCGATACACGTGTATACTGTAGTAGATCAACATTTCCATTTGCGGCCATGTTTATATAAAAGAATATTTTCAAGTAACAAACACAATAAATACTCTATAAAAAGAATAAAATTCGTTTTTAACATTCACATGATGACTGAATTTTAATAGAAGCAATTCGTCCGTCAGACTCTCTGATTATAATTGTGTGCGTTAATTAGTCAAGTGAGTTGTTTTTAATAGTACTCTTTTTAATTACAAATCTCAACAACATGATTTATAGAGAATACATTCCAACGCTATCGCATTTTGTTAATAATATTCATTTTACATTTATAATCTGCTTGTCTGAGTATTAGTCAGATTAATAGAAGAGATGACGATCTAAACCAATACTCTTACTGATCTTAAAATACATATTCTAAAAAACGTATTTAGATAAAATGTCAGACACTACATTGTTCGATAAGTGTTTGTGATGTAGAATATTCCAAAGAATATTGAAGAAGGCAACGCCGAACAATCCTTTTTGTGCATTTTTTTAGTGCAATGGCGTTAAGGTTTATATTCTCTTCCAGTTTGTTACAATTTAATATGGAATTTCAGATTTTCAAGAAGAGAACGTATAGATGATTTAGCCATCATCACTCTGTATATTAAAAATCTTGAAGATGGGTGTGGGTGTGAGCCTGTTTTCCATTTACTCCACATCTAACTCACACCGACATTCACCTACATCCATAACCTCAAGATGAATTCTCTATACATCTTTCTGCTGATCTGTCAGTTTGGATTGAATATTCTACATACTTCCTTCACTATCTATAGTTAGTACAAGTTGATTCTGGATGCGGCTCACAATGTCGTAGACCAACTTTCGAGCTATTTTCTGCACTATTATATTGCGGAAATAAAAATTTCAACGAGTTTTCTTTAGGTCGGTTAGAATCCGATCGAGGTTTATGTGAAGATATTTGTCATGAATCTGTTCGTGTCTCACTCGAGATCGAACAAACTCTGATACCAGCGATTTGTAATTTAATCTATCATCACTAGCTCATACCAGTGACTTAGATGAATTATACGAGTAAGTTAACGTTGTACATCTAAATGTATATCGATCATGGAACCCGTTCGAAAGAGAATGATTTCGATATCGAGACTTTCTCGATCATAATACTCCTTCCCTGTTACGTCGATTCTCTGTACGTTTTCATAAAGATCAGTGAAAAGGCTGACGAGCAATGTCTCTATGTTAAGTATATACACAGAGATCACTAGTATAGAATCACCAATTATTTAGCGATTCTATTGCTATCCTGTTCTATACTCGTATTCTGATCATATTTATATCAGATACATGCTGTTTAAAATAAAATAGTTCGATCTCTAAATTATTTTAACAAAAACTCACCACAATCAAGTTATTGTAATTAAGTGGATGGAGAGGCTTATAAAACTGATGTGAATTTTACATTCAGTTTTAGTGTTATAAACGTTATCATCAGTTTCTTTCTCGAAATCACTCACTTGTTACCTGTACAAAATGATAAAATTCTCGGCTTCTTTTTTTCTTCATTCGCCTCTTATTCTGTTGGTTTTTTCCAACATTGAGTTTTACAGAGAAAGAGTACACTTAGTCAAGATAAAATAAGTGCAAACAAGAAAAAACGTATATATGATGCTGAAATAGACTTTATTGCAAAAGAAACGAAAGCTCTTTACTTTTCTTTGTTGTTTGTTTCATTAGAAAAACGAAATAATAAAAAGCATGTTTTTGTTATCAGATACATTTATATCTATTACCTTTGAAAAATTTCAAGAACTGAATACATTTAAGACAGAATTATCATAACTTGCAAGATACGGTAAAAATAACTTTTGACTGTTTTAATCAAAATTTCAAACAATAATTTCTACGCAATAAATATATCTAATTATTTGTAACGATATTTTATATATATTTAACAAACATACATATGAGCTAAATAATTCGGAAAGCTTTTGATATAAATGGAAGATTGTTATATTTTTTTACAAGAATACCAGATAGTATCTGATTTAAATTAAATTAATAACAGATTTCGAATACATTTAGTCAGATATAAGAATTCAATCATGACATTATTTTTATCATCAATATACCTGTTATACATTCATAATATTTATGAATAAAACTTTCTAAGCAAAAAAATATGTTCTGATTCTTTTTACCTAATACTTTGCTTGTCACCACTTTAATTATAACTAGTACATTGTTTACGTTATTCTTGTTACTTCAAAATATTTTACTTTAATGACAAATCTTTCAATGAATTTGTTCTCACTGTTCACGATTTTTCATTTTCAAAAATATAAGTATTGAATATGTTTGTCTTCTCTTTTATATTAGTATAAAATCTCTAATAACATGCTTTAGATCTTAAAGTCTATATCTGACATAGATTCCAGTATGTCTTCAAAAACTTAACAATAATGCGTTTCTTTATACATCATTTGATTTTTAAGAAAGATTGTACTATAAACCAAACAGTCAAGAAAATGTTCATAAATCTGAAAACAAAAATAGTTTCTGGAGTTTTTTAATATTTCATATTTTCAAATAGATTATATACATATTGTTAATCTGAACTTCGTAAAGTTGCGCCAGTAGAAGCATTTTTTCAAATAAAAATCTTGTTTCAATGGAATAACCAAACTATTAAACCAGCGATCTATGATAGATACATGAAAAAATATCATTAGTAGTATCTTGTAAAATCAAGTTCAACTTTGAGATCAATTTGACAAATAGTCGCGTAGATAAAACTAATTTCTATAGAATTGTTAGTGCAATTTCAAAATTTTACTCGAATTTATTCGTTATATGAAAAATACATTTTCAAAATTATCTCACATGGATAATATGAAACAATAACAGAACGACAAAAATAACTTTCCATAAATGTGATTGCTAGTTTTATCTACTATACTATGAAAAATATAGGCTTTAATAGTAATGTATATTATTTTAATAAGATAAAAATTAATATTTTATTACATGAAGAGAAAATACTTGAAGTTCATGATGACTCATTTTTTGGTTGACTCCTGACAATACTGATTCATAGTTTTATCTTTTATTTAGTATATCCAAAAGGACATCTAAAGATAGAAAAAAAGATATCTAATATATCATTTGTAAGACAATAAAGATATTTCTCGTTTTTTTTTTCTTCTTTTCAAGTGACAGTACATATGATTGGATGATAAACACACATGTTTATTATAGTCACTATATTTATCAAATGTCTTTAATAGAAATAATATATTTAGATTCTTCTTCGATGATCAAAGTCCACAATATAATACGTACTACTAACCTTACGAGAGAAAAAAATCGATAAGAAACATGACTTTTATATTGTCATGTGTCTTATACAATAAATAAAATCGATATATTTCAATGATAAAACGATTTAAATGTTATTTGTTATTCTATTTTCTACAAGGACAAAAAAATATCATTCGATTCTTTTTTTCATCAGAACGAAACAAAATATTATCGGTCTACTATTCAATAAATCAATATACAAATTTTTTAATTATTTCAGACAAGTTAAAAACAATAAAAATATCTATGTTCGATAAGGACATTCAGTTTAAATCATATAGTGGTGTGCGTATGAAATAGAAATCATATATATGTACGATAATATAAAGAAGACGTCTTCTTTCACTTCGATTCGAAAGTCCATTTAAAGCACATGTATAAGTCGTGATTTAAACGGATGTCAAAGGGCAAAATTTTTTCTTTTTTCTTCTCTTCCTCTATGACAATGCATTTGCATCGTCAGCATGTTATATCATCATCATCTTTTCTGATCATAGAGCGAGCGCATGCTATATGCACTTTTTCTTTTTCTTTTTCGCACACCTCTGCCATGAAGGGGTGTGTTCTGTTCTGTTCCGAATAGACGATGGAATATGATCTTATGCATATTTTTTTTTCTTTCTTTTACACAACGTCACTGCGTGATCAATGCCTGACTGTATATATGATCACGCGTAGCTTGCGTGATTGTACTTGAGTTGCCTATTTTTGCTGTGTACTTACATAGTTCAGACACACATATTCTTAGTTGTACATTGGAATATATATCAAAAAAAAATATAAAAAGTGCATATATGATTCAAACACTACCTTGTATTGCATCAGTTAGTTTTGAAGCAAATAAGAGACAAAATCTACCAGGAATAGATACAATTATGTATTCACAATCAAATCATTTTAATATGAATGATTTTAAACGCGAACCAACAGTATGTAATTAAAGTTGTTTTATATTATTATTAATTTTTTATTTTAGTGTTCTTCTGTTAGCGTTCAAGATGCTGAATTATTACTTTCAATACGTTCGATACCTGAAAAACCGAGAAAACTTCATCCGAAATTTCGTCCAGTAAGATTTATTTTATTTTTTTTTATATAAATGAATTTATTTATTTTTTAGTATATAAGTGAACCAGTACATACACCGCTTCCAGCATTCGATAATTTAACATTATTAAAACGATCAAATTCACTTTCTTCATCTCCGTCAGATGAATGTTCTTCTGAATCATCATCATCAACACCATGTACATCTCCATTTTCAACTTCAAATGATGACAGTCAATCATCATCATCATCGAACCAACAATTTCATATTCTTTATGTTAATGTCAATGGTGAATATGTTCCTGTAGCTAAAACTTCATTTATTATTCAACCATCATCATCATCAGAATCACAAATACCAATACCTAAACCAATATCAGTTCGAAAGAAAAATTATATTTGTCCATATACTGATTGCACTAAATCATATTTTAAATCATCACATCTTAAAGCACATATTCGTTTGCATACTGGTAAGATTATTTGGTTTTTTCCTTCGTCATGAGAAAAAAAAGAAGGCGTGGGTGTATTTGTTTTTCTGTAGTAACGTAAAATATTTTTTAAGGTCAAATAAACCTTGTACTTAATTTTTGTACGAATAGTTTAGTAATAATTTATTTTTTTATTTTTTAGGTGAAAAACCATTTTCATGTTCATGGCCAGATTGTGATAAAACATTTGCCCGATCGGATGAATTGAGTCGCCATCGACGAACACATACTGGTGAAAAAAAACATATTTGTTCATTTTGTCAAAAAGCATTTATGCGAAGTGATCACTTATCAAAACATCAAAAACGTCATTTAAAAACAAAGAGTCCGTTTTGATAAACTGATGTATATTATTTCTTCATTATGAATTATTCAATCAGGACATATAGATATTTACATATGTGTATCATGTGGTCATTATAACATATTATTTTACTAGTCAAACAAGACATACGATGGACAAAATATATATATCATCTATTATGTAGACTTTTAAAATGAAAAACTTTGATGATGATGATGATGTTGCTATTTATGACACGATTCTTTCGTCTTCTTTTTTTTTTTGCCATTGTATGTGTGTGATTTTTGTATATTTGTTTTTTTCGTTTTGTGTTCGTGTAACTTAAACAATTGTTTTTTGTTACACGTATACCTATAAAGATTAGTATATATATATATTGATCGAATTTATTTATCAACGATTTGCCTATTAGAAAAATTCTAGTTAGCAATCAAATGAGAAGATATGTATATCTATGTAACAATCTGATTTTATTTCGATATGGTAACTTATAACTGAATGTGTAATGAGAAAAGGGGATTGTTTGTTAGATGTATCAGATGAAAATGAAATTTTGACACTATGGTAACTAGATATTAATATGTCTTTCGTCAATGTTATGCATGAATGAATACATATATAAATATATATATTGTCTTTCGCATTACTAAAAATAAAGAATGAATGATACAATGTATAAGAAATTATCATCATGTAAGTATATGAATTTATTTGACAAAAAAAACGACACTTGAATTATTTTAAGATCCATCAAAACAAGAGAATTCAGCAATTCTCAATGCATAATTCGCAAATCAATTGAATAATTACCTATGGATTTTTATCAACAATGATTATTGTGGTCGTAGTCGTCCTCGTTGTACTGATAGAAAATTCCTTCATAGAAAAACTTCCGATACCAAATATTGTTGAGTAAAATAAATATATCAAATGATGGTACTCAGTAGAACCACATTTTATGTACACGCAAATTTTATTTTTCTTTTTTCTATTGTAAATACCATCCAAAATCTTAAAATACATTACCTGTTTCATATATATTTTTTATTTCATTTCCTTGGAACTCATGACAATATGAATAGCATTATTTGTTTTCTGTTTCTTTTTTAAATAATTTAAAATAAAATGATTAATTTAAAGAAAATAATGTACGTGATAGCTTGTAAAAGATAACTACTATAATACTGGTTTAAACGTGTTGCTATTCTTCACTTTTTGTTTCTAACGATCACATTTATTCTAGATAAATAATAAGAAAGGCAATGAATAAAATATGGTTATTACTTATGATTATTTTTGGTTTAATTTTACCAACTATACAATTATTTTGTTCAACAAATTGTACAACTATTCAAGTTAATTATTCCGATCCTTTTATTGAACCATTTCATCATAATTCATGTTTAAATGATACATCAATAAATATATGTAAAGGACGAATAACTGCGTATTATATTGGAAAAAGTAATTATCCAAAATATATTAATTATACATTTGGAAAAATTGATGATGTACTAGAAAGAAAAAATGAAAATGATATAAATAAATATGCATTAAAAAATTTAACAAGATATCAAGTTATTATTAATCCAAAAATTGAAGAAACACAAATTATATCGGATATTTATTGTACAACTGATAATGAATGTGCATTAGATGAAATAAAAAAATTATTCAATAAATATAACAATCAAATAAATCCATTTTATGAATTAAAATCATTATTTTATTCTAATCTATCACCAGATAAACTTTATTGTTATGATATAGCAAATGATACAAGTAAATTATGTACAAAAACAAATGATAATAATTATCCTGTTTGTCTGTCATATTTTAAAGAATTAAAACATGAATGTTCATCAGGAACAGATTTAGAATTACATGAAGAATTTATACTTACATCACCAGATACAATGGAATTAAATTTGAAAGATGAATTAATTAAATGTAATCAAAATAATTGTAATAGTTTTGATAAATTAGCAGAAATACAAAAAATTGCAAGAGATTATGCTTATGGTACGGTTATTATGAAGAATAATGCTCATAAACAACGAAATGAAATTAATCAGATATTTTTTATACTTATTTTAATAGTTTTTTTTTTTTGAATTATATATATAATTCAAAATCTGTTGTTAGAACAATACATATGATAGAAAATTAATAGCATTATTAGAATTAGTTCAGAAATTTATAGTATCATCATGAGGAAAAAAAGTGATATAAATTTTCTAAGATTTCTGCAGATATAAGTAATAGGAAGAATAAAATTAAATCTGAACATAACACACAGTAATTTCGTCATCGATTATTTAGTAAGAGAAAAGTATAGATAGGTTATCTCTTTCTCGTCTCCTAGGCTGGAAAAAATATTTTGATAGAAGGTACTGTCATACTTTCAAATATGATTAATAATGAATTCTATACCAAATGAAAGCCTGTAAAAATGGGAAATGATTAATCGGTCAGTAAAAACTATGAAAATGATTTTAATCGATGAAAATAGGACAATATTAATGAATTCTAGTATTTTTCGCGCTTTAAATAAGTATTTACTAATTTTTAGAGACAAGATGTCCAAAGAGATATCGAGCACCTCGATTCGCAGTAAAAATCTCAGAAAAACGCATTTGACGATCACCGGTACTAAAGTTCATTTTCATAAAATTACTTTATTTCAATTGCTAGTTTAATAGAAAACATAGTGAAAATCAAAATCTCTTTAACCCTCTTTTTAAATGAGTGATAATCGGAATACTGACCAACTAACCTTTTTACTGATCATCTCATCTATTCTATTGACCGATTAAATGATAGCCAAACTGTTTTATGTTAAGATATTTAAACATAATAAATTCCATTGATTAAAAGTGTGAAAAAAGTTATTTATAAGATAAAGTTCGACCAAAATGTGATACAAAAATTCTTTGCTACACGTTCTGAATCGTAGAAAGGTCTTATGATCACTAGAATAGTACTCTTTTGAATTCTTCCAAAAACTATCTACTTTCTTTTCGTCTTATGACTTTGCGAAAGTTTCTGAACTCTTATTATTTAGTATCAATAAACCCCATTTTTACGGGCTTTCATTTGGTATAAAATTCATTATTAACTCTATTTCAGAATATAGCGGTACCCTCCTTTCAAGATATTTTTTTCTAACCCTGTAAATATTTAATCTTAATGGAAAGATTTATTTTAACAATTTATTAATAACTCTTTCAGAGTATTACACCGAAAATAATCATGAACAAACAAACACAGGAAATCGTTACTAATCGTTAAGTACAAAAAAATAATATTTTATTTTAATTGATTGTATTGAAAAAATACAGAATTTTGCGATATACTGTTGATACGAATTATTTAATCATTATCAAGAATAGATTTTCTTAGAATTGTTAAATAATATTCATATGTACTATTAATAATTCCCCATGATATAAGACTACGAACAAAATTCCATTTAGCACCAATATAAAATTCTTTTATTGAATTTCCACGTTGTTTATAAACGGACTGAAATATTTTTAATGGCCGATCATATCTACCACCAAGTTCCGATTGTTGAACATTTTTTAAAACATTTAATGGATAAATAAATGTTGATAATAATGCACCTAATAAACCACCACTTATAAAATCATATAATGGATGTTGAATATCTCTTGATGCAGTTGGTAACATATCTTTAATTGGTTGTCGACAAGCAAAAAATATTACATTTGAAATACTATTACGTATTAATATAAGTGTTAAACCACGATAATATTCTATAATACCATAATGTTTATACATTAAAACAAATGCATGATAACCATTACGAATTAAATGATTATATTTTTGTGTTTGTAATAAAACTTGTGTTCGTTCTAATGGTGTAAATATAGCTTCGGTTACACCAGCTAATGCCGATGCAAATGGTTGATGATACCAATGGTCTTCTTTTGAAAATGATTGAAATATATGTAAATAATGTGAATTAGTACCAAACATAATACTTAATGAAAGTGTTTTTTGTAATAATGGTAATGGTATACCACGATATAAGATCGTTAAACCTTCGAATTTTAATTGTTGATATGCATCATTCGTTTTAAGACGATAAATTTGTTGTCGAAAAATTAATTTATTTAAAGGATAAGTAAGAATAATATTCGTTGCTGATGAAAGAAAACCGGCGACATATTCCGGTGAACGATGTTTTAATTTATATGATATTAAAGTTTCTCTTGAAGTCATAAGAATAGTTTTTATAGTTCATGATAATAATTTACAATCATCTATAAGGAAAAAAATAAATAAAAATTCTACTCTTTGTTTATTATCGTATATTTATTTATTATTGATTAACTATCATATGTAGTTTATTTAATAAAGAACTTGATAAAAGAACTTTTTATTTGTATTTATAAGAGAGAAACGTGTTCATTTAATGGAACATGGATAAGTGCAGTTTAATCTTGTCAGCCATATTGTCTCTCATCACACCCTTTTAACTTTTTTTTTTCCACAGCTGACATTTGTCCCATTGGCAAAACGATTTTATTGATTTATGCAATCGCACATATACACACACACATACACACACATATATATATATATACATATATAACATATTCGTCACGAACTAACGATCGTTTGTGCTCAATTATCAAAAAAAAAATAAACAATCTTTTTTTTTTCTTATCTTTTTTCATTGAGACGTGATACTCGAAACAAAAGACAGCTCCGGTCGACTAACTTTCTGTCATCGTCTCTTTACGAGTACGAAAAGTTTGTCGTGTGTGTCTATATGTGTGCTTGTATATGTATGTGTATATCTTCATTCTTTATTCGTTCATGACTCCCTCGTCAGCGTTCGAACGGAAGAAGTAAAATGAATATATGCATTTAAGCTGTATACTATTGTCATCCTTATCATCATATGGTTGTATGGTGACGCGTCAAGGGGTCAACTACTATCAAGCAAGACAAGAACTAAACTAAACTAAACGACACTAAACAATGAATAACTGTTCGTTAGATCTCGTCGAATATAATCAACTTGTTACATTACAAAAACGTCATACTAATACATATACATTTTTATTATTTAATGCACGTATCTGTCATCTATTAACTGTTGCACAATGTGAAGTTTTATATGCACCATCATTATCAACAAATAATAATCTATCAACAACAACAATTGATCCATTAGCAAGTTATTTTCGTCGTTATATTGAAACAATGAATCATAATGAATGTGAAAAATATTCAAATGAAGTACGACGAAAATTTATTTTATTTATTATTGGAATTATTTTATCTATACTTGTTATTATATTAAATACAATTGTAACATTAACAATATTAAAATCAATTAAATTACGTTCATTATTAACAAATATCTTTTTATTAAATTTATCAATTGCAGATTTTCTTAGTGGTTGTTCATTTTTATATCCATGTGTAATGAATATTCTTGTTGAATATGCAGTTGTTAATTATAATTCAATATTATTAACACGTTTAAATTTAATACGGAATAATTATTATATATGTTTAATAGCTTATGCTTTTATTATGTCCGGTATGTTAATGTCAGTATCAATTTTATTATCAATATCAATTGATAAATATATTTATATATTTAAACCATATTCTTATCAAAAAATAATTACAAAACGTCGTTGTTTAGTATGGATATCAAGTTTATGGTTAATTTCAATTCTAGTTGGTCTACTTCCATTATTAGGTTGGAATAAAATGAAACGATGTTCATCATCAAAACAAGGTTTATGTTCAATAAATACTTGTTTAATTCATCGAGTATTTACAACAGGTTATTGTTCATTATTTGCAACAATAAGTCTTCTTGCTGCAATTGTTATTTTATATGTATATGTTCGAATATTTTTTGTTGCAAGAGATCATTTAATGAGAATTGAACGTTTAAGATCACAATATTCTACAACATCCTATGAACAACCACCAACACCTGGAACAGCAACAACATTATTAACATCAGATAAAATAAATCATGAAAAAGATCTACAAAAATGTTTTTCATTATCATGTCCAACTATACGTAAGAATATCATCGTATGAATAGATAATAATAAATTCTATCTTTTTCTTTTTTTTGTTGTTATCTTCAGAACGTTCTCAAGATGGTCGAGAACGAACAAGCCTCTTTCGTGTAAATATTCGTCGTAGTCTTCGTGCACTTCGTACATTACTTGTTCTTCTCGTTGGTTTTTATCTTTGTTGGTTACCATTATTAATCTATTTATTAAGTCATACATGGATGGATTTTAAAAATAATCTTATTATTCATGTACTTATTTTCATAGCTAATGTTAATTCATTAGTTAATCCAATTGTTTATGCATATCGTTCGAAACAATTTCGTATTGAATTATGGAATGTTACATTTGGAAGTTGTGGTATTAATCATCGATATCGTCCACGTCCATCACCAGCAGCAACCGCTGCTGCTGCAATAGCATGTAAAAGAGTACATCTTTTACCACCTATTAAATCAAGCATTTGATTTAATTTATTTGTTTTATTATTGAACAGTGAAAGAAAAAAAAAACTATTTCAAGTTTTTTTTTTTAAATCTAGATAAACAAAAGAACTGATTTTACAAGATAACAACAGATGTGTTTGTTTTTTATTATGTATATGTGTGTAAAAGGTTTTTTAAATGAAGATTTTTTGTTTTGATTTACTTTTAAAAAAAGAAGAGATTAAAGAAAAAAAATTCATTTCTTAAAAAATATCACTCAATCGTTATCGAATA